GAAAAAAAATCTTTGAGATTGTTTCTTTTGAAAAAATCTTTGAGTTTGTTTCTTTGGAAACAAAATTTTGTCTCTCTTAAGATAGTTTCTTTTAAAACAAAAATCTTTGAGTTTGTTTCTTTGGAAACAAAATTTTGTCTATCTTAAGATAATTTCTTTTGAAAAAAATCTTTGAATCTGTTTCTCTTAAAATGAATTTTGTATCTCTTGAGACAGTTTCTCTTGAAGTAAATCTTTGAATATGTTCATTTTGAAAATCTTTGAGTTTGTTTCTCTTAACAAAATCATCTTTGAGTCTATTTCTTTAAAAACAAATGTTGTCTCTCTTGAGACAGTTTCTAATGAAAAACTAACTTTTGAGATTGTTTCATTTGAAACAAATTTGGTCTCACTTAAGATGTGATCCATCTTTGAGTCTGTTTCTTTTGAAACAAAATTTTATCTCTTAAAGACAATTTCTTTTGAAAAAAAAATCTTTGAGTTTGTTTCCTTTGAAACAAAATTTTGTCTCTCGAGACAACTTCTTTTGAAAATACCCACATTTGAGATCGTTTAGACAATTTCTTTTAAAACTACCCACCTTTGAGATCGTTTCTATTAAAACAAATTTTGTCTCGCATGAGACAGTTTCCTTTCAATGACATCTTTGAATCGTTTCCCTTCAAACGAATTTTGTCTCTTGAAACATTTTCTCTTAAAACAAGATCATCTTTGAGTTTGTTTCTCTGGAAACAAGGTTTTATCCCTTAAAACAGTTTCTTTTGAAGAAAAATCTGAGTCTATTTCTTTGGAAACAAAATTTTGTCTCACTAAGATACAATTTTCTGAAAAGCAAAGTTTTGTCTCTTATGACAATGTCTTCTTAAAAAAAAATCATCATTGAATCTCTTTCTTTGGAAACAAAATTTTGTTTCTCTCGAGACAGTTTCTTTGAGAAAAATCTTTGAGTTTGTTTCTTTGGAAAACAAAATTTACCATCATTGAATTTGTTTCCCATGAAACAAAACAAACATCTTTGAAATCGTTTCCCTTGAAATGAATTTTGTCTCATTTGAGACAGTTTCCCATGAAACACAGATATTTGAGAACGTTCCCTTAAAAACAAATTTTGTCTCGCTTGAGACAATTTCCCTTTAAACGTCATCTTTTGAGTTGTTTCATTTGAAATGAATTTTGTCTCTTTCGAGACAGTTGCTTTTGAAACACATTATCTTTGAGCTTGTTTTCTTGAAACAAATCTTTGAGTCTGTTTCTTTTGAAACAAATCTTTAATTTGGTTTCTCTTGAAACCATAACTCCTAAAGATGGCCATCCGTCTTCATCATGTAGGAACCGTGTCATCCCCAGACCAGATCTCCTCATCACGTAGGAGCCGTGTTATCACCTTTAGATGGCCAGAACTCTTCATCACGTATGAGCCGTGTCATCCCCTGACCAGATTTCCTCATCACGTAAGAACCGGGTCACCCTTAGATAACCAGCCGTCCTCATCACGTAGGAACCGTGTTATCACCTTTAGATGGCCAGACCTCTTCATCACGTATGAGCCGTGTCATCCCCTGACCAGATTTCCTCATCACGTAGGAACCGGGTCACCCCTAGATAACCAGCCGTCCTCATCACGTAGGAACCTAGTTATCACCCTTCCTAAAGATGACCAGAACTCTTCATCACGTATGAGCCGTGTCATCCCCCGACCAGAACTCTTCGTCACGTATGAGCCGTGTCATCCCCCGACCAGATTTTTTCATCACGTAGGAGCCGTGTCGCCCTTAGATGACCAGACCTCTTCATTGCGTATGAGCAGTGTCGTCCCCACCAACAAAACTATCCATTTTTTTCAAACCAAAAAGAGGAGAACCAGACAAAAACGTGTTTTCTTGCCGTCTTTGCCCTATTCTTGTTAACACAAGAATGTGCAAAGAGGGGCAGCTGTAGACACCCGTTTTTGTCCGGGTTTTTTTTGTTATTTTATTATTATTATTATTATTATTATCGTTATCTTATTATTTTATTATTATTTATTATTACAAATTTTTGCAGGCTCAAACCCGAAGCCCATCAGATACCAAACCCGACCCAGAATTACAAGACCTGGAGCCCAGACCCGGTTCAGGCCCAATACCCGAACCAGGCCTGGATCTGGCCCAAGTAATTAGGGTTTTAAACCCTAAACGTATCATCATCCAGGCGCCGCCGCCAGCAACAAATGAACAGCCGCGCCACCGTCACTGTTCCGGCCCACTCCGATGGTCCAGCCGCCGTTCCCGCGCCACCATCGTCATCTACAGTGAAAAATCAATCAAACAGCAACCCCATCAGTCCCAAATCAACCCAAATCAGTAAAAAAAATATATCCAAACCCTAAATTAAAAATACCTAAATCCCGATAAATCGGGAAATTTGTCCCTACCAAGGTCAGAGACCCTTACCCCTACGCTAGCATCATCATCATCTCACCAAACGAAGCAAAATCAACCATAAATCAAGCAAAGATATCAGAGGAAGGAGGTTTTTCATTCGGGAGATTAAAAAAAAAACAGAGAGAAGAACGAGAGAGTATTCGGTGAAAAAAAAACCAGAGAAGTTCGTACAAAGAAAAAAAGGAAAAAGCTTTCGAACTAAAAAAAAAACAAAACATACCTTTGAGGGAGATTTGACCGTTAGTAGCTTCACCGGAGTTGTGGAACCCGTATCCTAAGGTAAGGGTTTCGTTTTGTTTTGTGGAGGGGGCTCGGTTTTAGTTTGGTGTTAGAGAAAGGCAGAGGAAAAAGGAAGAGTGAAAGTCTTTTGGGGTTTGGTTCAGCTCCCCATGGCCACCGATACGGTGGCCGGGGAGCCTCGGGTTTCTTGTTTCGGCATGGGAGAAGGGAGAATAGAGAGAAAACGGTGAGAACGGCTGGGGGGGCTTTGAAATGAGAAGGGGTTTCTGAATAACCCTAAAATGGGATTATATCCCAGTTTCAAAAACGACGCCGTTTAGAGGGGTCAGGGCTTCCGTGTTTTCAAGTGTAAAGGGTAAATAGCACCTTAGGTCCCTTGCAGTTGTAATTTATTTATTTCAATCATATACTGAAAGTTTGCTTTATTATATTTTGAGCACTTATGTTTCTGTATTTCTATTTTAGTCCTGTTACTATGTGTTATATTATTATTTGTTAATGTTGAACTCTGGCCACAATGTTTGTAATAGTTTCATTTTAGTCCTAATTTCTTGTGTTATGATATTTTGTGGGTGTTTGAGTTTAGCCATCATCTTTGCAAATGTTCTATTTTGGTCACTGTCCGATTTTGTTTAATTACTTTTGATCCTCCGTATTTCTGTGAAATTGTTTTAGTCCTCATTTGCATGGTTTGTGTAATTATTTGATTTTACGCCTTAGAGTTTAGATTTGTTTCATTTCAGTCCATATTTGGTTATTTATTTCAATTTCATTAGTTTTTAATTTAGGTTATGATATTTATAATAATTGTATTTTAGTCACTTATTACATGTGTTGTGTGATTTTGGCTGATATTCAAATTTGGCCCATGAATTTATGATTATTCCCTTTTAGTCACTGTTTATTATTTGATTTAATTACTGTTCGGCCCTCTATGTTTCTGTTGATATTTTAATTTGGCCTTAATATTTATGTATGTTACATTTTGGTCACTCTTACAGTTTATGTATTTTGTATTTTGTATACCATGTTCATATAGTTTGTATTTTGGTCACTAGATCTTCTGTTGCTAATATTTTTATAAATTTGTACATTGTATTCTGCAGTTATATATATTTTATTTTAGTCCTATTATTAAATGTAATGTTATTATAGTCATATTTTACTTTGGCCACAATGTTTGTATTAGTTTCATTTTAGTCACTGATTTTGTATGTTATATATTGGCTGATGTTCGATTTTGACTCTAAGATTTGTAAATCTTTTTATTTGAGTCACTAGTTTGCATTCGGTTTAATTACTATTTTAGTTCCTACATTTCTGTTTTTGTCATTTTAGTATTTTAATTTTCTATTTTACCGTTTTTGCCCTTTAAGTTGTTATTACCATGTTAATCATTGTAATTATTAAATACTTACTTTATGACTATTTTATTTTGGGTTGTAATATTCATTTGTATTTATTTCAATATGTATGTACATATTTCGTGTTATGTAATCATTCGTATCAAATGTAAATAAATATGCCTAACTCTATTGGTTGTAAATCTTTTATTGTGCATATTTTTATTTGTATTTATTTCCATTACATTATTATAGATGAAATATTGGACTTTTATTTTAAAGAACACATATGCGTAGAATGAGCGTGGAAAGTATCACTTGGTCGAAGTGATGCGATCCGATACGACATTTTAACAAATGTGAACTTGAAATAAATATAGTTCATTTTACCAATTAAATCTTGTTTATTCAAATAATTCAATACATTTGTTTTGTGGTATTTTTATTTTATGTTAATATCGATTTTCAATTCATATTCGATTCACATTTTATCAAAGAGGGAAATATTCTTTATGGATAAGGGATAGTCAAGTTAGCTTTCCCGATGGAGAATTGTTAATTTCGAGATTTCTTTTCAAGTTAAAGAATTTTTTTCTAATTAATTAATTTGAAGTAAATTAATCAATGTTCAATAAACAGATCATCTTGTAGCTTTATATTCGCTTCATCTTTTCTACCATTTACGACAACGTGTAAGCGACACAGTACCAATTTTGGGCGTTGTGGGAGTGCTTACCCTTCCCCACGCATAACCGACTCCCGAATCCATTTAAATGAATCTTTGGTAACGCAGACCGAATTTTGTCTTAAAAAATGATTTTTCTTAAAATGGTTTTGAAAAGATGTTTTAGGTATTCGATCTACCTAACCTAAAGGTCGATGGCGACTCTATTCAATTTATTCCAAATTAATTCCAAAATCACAAAATTTTCAAATTAAAGCCATAATCGTTTTTAAAATAATATTTAATTGTTTTACAAAAATGGTTATGACAGATATCTGTTGGCAGGTCATACTCTTTTAATAGCTCCGGCAATGGCTTTTGTATTGTCCCTGTAAAAGGCCAAATATCAGTGACCATGACAACTTTTGGGGCCAAACTTATAGGAGATCATGCACTGCATTCTACTACATATCTTGATGCTCAAATAAAGGATCAAGTTGGTGTTCAAGTCCCATGACCTTAAACACAAAATTAGAGAGGTTAATGTTCTTTTAGCTAATGAACGAAGTCATCGAGATGTGGACTTTGGTTCTCAAGTCTAAGCTTCATTTGTTGCCAAAATTCCCTGGAAGACCCAGAACTTGGACTTTTTTTAATTTCGAATAGTTTGAGGTGTTACAAATAGTATATGTTTAGAATTTTACTTAACCTATTGACAATGTGTACATACTATGCAAATACAACTGCTTAAACCTAGGTCCTCTAAGAAAAACAACATAATTTTTTGTCGCTTAGATCATTCAATGAATTCAGCTAAACACTATCTTTAAAGCACAAGCAGTGAGGTGCATATATAGACATTACCATCTGAAATAACAAAACCAAAGCTATGTTTCATACATTAAATACAAAGACAAACCTTTGATTTTATTAACCAACCATTTGGTTCCTCCTCCGATAATGTTTGAGATTTGCTGATTATAAGGAGGAAACAGATATATGTTAGTATGAAGTTGATAAACAAATGCACAGCTCAAGGGCTATATGAATTCAATAAAGATTGTATTATATTTATCTGACAATAGAAAATAACTGTTGAGAAAAAGAAAAAACCTAGTATTAACGTTTGTTTATTATAGATGCTATTTTATTATTAAAACAGATCTCCTATTACCGTTTCTAATACATTGATGAGGAGCAGTGCTATTTTTCACTAAAAATAATCGAGGCAGTGTTATTTTTTTTTTTTTTTTTTGAAATCAGGCTCAAGTACTCAACCACGTTTTTGGTCAGTTGACTTTGTATATTTGTTAGATTACTCAACTTTAATTTTATTTTATCTTACTTTGTCATATAACCTTTTAGTTTTGTTCTCTTTTGATCGCTCGATTATTAAATATTTAATGTGATTTGAAATCATGTGAAATCCCCTAAAACATTTCTCTCAAACTCATATTTTCAGATTTTTTTTTTGTAGGTGGTAGATTATTTTCTTCCAAATTTGAATAGTGAAATAGTTAAAAAAGAAAGAAAGAAAGAGAAAAACAATATATATCTATTCTATATTAATCAGAGAATGAAAATTACAAATCAAACCATGAAAATATCAATATTTTTATTTAAATTTCATCCGTTTTGGGGAACTCAAATCGTAAAAAAAAAAAAAGGAAAAATAATTTAGTACCAATTACGTTACAAATAACAACCGTCAATGATCTAATGGCAATAAAAGACTCCCCTACCATGGGAAAGAAAAATAAAATATTAAGTTAATTTCAAAAATACCTAAAATATAATATTTTGGATATTATCCTTTCACAGTTGAAGGTTGGTGGTGAAAAGTAAAACGAAATTCAAAAGTTTTTCTTTATCAAATCAATCTTTTTAAAAAAATTATTAAGCTAAATGTGATTAAAATGTAGTATATGTTCTAAGTATTCTTAATCATTTGATAATAAATATTTAATTAGATTTGAAGTCGTTGATGCTCAAACTCATGACCTCTACGATAAATGATAATTCCTTTGATACTTGAACTCATGACCACTATAAATAATAACAATTCTTTAAACACCGAAGTAAGTTGGTTAATACTAATTCTTTTAAAAGTTAGATAAGTAATAAAAATTAGGTGAATAAATAAGTAATTTATCCTTGAAATTATAATAACCAACCCCGACGCCTATTCAGATGGATGAACAAATATGAAAATGAAACTACAGCTAGCAGCGCGCAAGCTGACCACAATTTGCTTTTTAATCAAATTAATCGACCATGAAGATGATGATGATGATAATAATTGAAGAAGAAGCAAGTAAATGAAATGGGTTGAGGGGGTGATGAGAAAAAGAAAAGATAAAGGAAAGCATACTTCGATTTCGTCGCCGACGGAACTGAGTTGCTTCTCCGCCTTATGGCCCACCTTGTTCAACATCTGATCCATTTCTCCCCAATCTCAATCCTTGATTATCCCCTAGCTTGTTTAAATTGTTATTTTCAATCTCTGTTTTCGGATTTGGAATTGGAACGAATTACGTGATAATTTCGATCGAGAGAGAGAGAGTGAGAGGCCCTTGCTTCCTCTTTTTATGTTTTCTTATCTATTATAAACAAGTAATTAGTTATATATTTTTTCGGTTGTTTGTCTTTGTATTATCTTATTTTAGATTTGATTATCCACAGTTTACAGTAGAAAAAAATGCTAATATTAAAACCCTAAACCCTAAATTTAAAATTTCAATACAGAAACTTTCTATCAAATTAGCTGCACAGCGTTGTTGCTAAAGCTATATACTAATTGTTAGCATATTAAACAAAGTGACATTCTTCATCAACGACTCATCACTTACCCTTTCTTCCACTCATATCTTTCCTTAATCCTTTCTACGTGTTCGTGTTCGTGTTCGTGTTCGTGTTTGTACTCGTATAAATATATATCTTTGATACACATCACGTATCTGTATTTTTTTAGGTTTAGCTTCTTTTTTCTCCTTTCTTTCAATCCAATTTGCGTCTGAATTATAATCGCATAAACAGAAGATATAACCTACAAGGCGCGCTTTTAAAGATGTATCTGACGCAACACGCATTTATCTTATATGATATAAAACGATTTTAATCCAGAAAATAATTTGACATGAATGTTATTTTCGACATTAATTTGAAACGAATGTAATATTTTGTCCAACTTTATATTCAAAACCAGCACTAGTTTTGCACATTTGGGATACCGTGATGCTTGTGGTAGTTAAAAAGAAGGGATAAAATGAAACCGTGAAGAAGTAACGAAGTTGGTTCAAGTGGTAAGCAGTTTGATATCGTTTAAGTATGTCTCGAGTTTGAGTCATTGTATGTACAGAAAATTATTACTAAAAGACTTAACCATCAAAATTAGGTGTGTGATATAAATCAGTTCGAATTAATTAAGATAAATCAGTTGGTAGAGCACAAGGTTCTTAACCTTGAGGTCGTGGGATCGAGTCTCACATAGGACATTTCATAATTCGGAGATCTCCTACGGAAGTTGCTCTCAATTTGGTGTTGGGGACAACCTGCTATCTTACCTCCCCTTACCCCATACATATGGTAAAAAAGGGACAACCATTACTGTGAAAGTTGTGGAGGTAACTTGAAGGCAACGAATCGGAAAAGAGATGTAGTGATGTGCCAACAACCCTATCCTCAACTTCAACTTACTTATTCCACTAACTGAAACCACAACTGCTCCCAACTTGCTTTTCCCAATATTACAAACATCTCTATCCACTTTGCCAGCCCCTTAAGTCATTTTTTTATCAACAAAGGAAGTAACAGGGTTATACCACCAATAAATAAATCATAAATATATAAACAACAGTAATGATAGAGTTATTTAAGTTATTTTTATTGTGTTATATCCTTGACTTTCAAAAATTATTATATCTTTATTAGGTAATCACCTTCGAATAGAATCTTTTGTTTATTGGGTTTTTGAGAAATTTTACATCACTCGAGTCAACTATAGTATATAGACAAGACTTTTGACAGACTTACGTGATTTATCAGTGTGATATCTAAGAATTTGATCACCTGATATATTTAACCTGGTGACCTACGAATAGTTATAATGATCTTATGCCTGACTTTATCAGCCATAATCACTATAAATACTTCTTAACCACGATTAAGAAGTAAGATCCTGGACGATCATCCTACTCTCTACTTCTTCCTCCACATCTATATCCCTCATTATGCTTTCATCTCTATCAACGAGGAAAATCGATCAACGTTATCTTATAAATTGCAACTCTTAATCCAAATTAGAAGAATTGAATCACCAACGACTGATAAGATAAACTTGTTCCCAACCAATGGAACAATAAAATATTTTCTACCGTGAATATGCTGCGTGGTTTAGTAGCATTAAGAAAAACGTAGTTAATTAGTACTGCAAGTATGGGTGTTTTGGCAAGACAAAGCAAGAAACATCCAACAGCAACAAGTCTAGTCCATTGCTTTCATCAAACTACCCGATATTTGAACTTCCATTATTTCCAAATTCAACAACAAAGTTAAAACTGATGGCTACCAACCGTTAGTAAATCACTATTAAATCGGAAATCAAGGGAGAGGAGCAAAGACTGGGAAGCGAGAACATGGCGAAGAAGCAGCAGGTAATGCCGGTTCCTCCAGCATGGGGCATAAGGGGCAGCTTCCAATCGCTTGTTGCTCTTCTCATTGCTACTCTTGTCGTTGCTGCAATCTATCTGAGACAGAGCAATGAACGATTGTTCCAGTACTGGACTACTCAAAAGGATCCTGCTGGTTTGTCGACGTCGACCTGCAAATTGTTCACCGGAAAGTGGGTATATGATAATGAATCCTACCCTTTATACAAAGAGAAAGAATGCGCCTTTATGTCTGATCAGTTAGCTTGTGAGAAGTTTGGGAGAATGGACCTTAACTACCAGTTCTGGAGATGGCAACCTCATCACTGTGACCTCCCCAGGTCTCCTTTTGTTTTTATTTTTTATTTTCCATTTCTTTTCTTCTTCCATGGATAAGAATTGACCGGAAGCAGGGATGATGATGGTTTTAAAGTTGCATTTTGGGAATGCTTCTTAAGTTTTGTGGAATGTTTGCTTGTTTTATGTTAATAAGGTTCAATGCCACAGCATTGCTGGAGAAGCTTAGGAACAAGAGGCTTGTTTACGTTGGGGACTCACTCAACAGAAACCAATGGATTTCCATGGTCTGCCTGGTGGACTCGGTCATCGCTCCAGCCTTCAGATCCATGCATAACAATGGCTCCATCAACATTTTCAAAGCCACTGTGAGTCTCTAATATTTCCAAAGTCCAATATAAACAGTGGTTTATCGTTCTTTTCGCCTCAGCATTTGCATTTTCTGATATTTTCGAGAGTGGCTAAATTTAAGGAATATAATGCAACAATTGAATTCTACTGGTCTCCATTGATGGTGGAATCCAACTCTGATGACCCAGTTAATCATCGGGTGCAAGATAGGATTGTTAGAGTCCAGGCAATTGAAAAGCATGCAAGGCATTGGACTAACGCAGATTTCCTTATATTCAACACCTATCTTTGGTGGAGAAGACGCCAAATGAAGGTTTTGTAAGTACATTTTCCAACACCTAATTAAAATTAGCATAAATTATTCGTATGATCAGTTGACTATTGTCCATTTTCATTTTGACCATTGATTTTAGAATTTTGTCAAACAGATCACTTAACTATTTAAGTGTGTCAATCAAGCCACCCGCTGTTAACATTTAACGGAAGTGCTGATGTGACAATTAATCACCACCTGATTGGAGGATTAAATTTATTGAATTAAATTATAAACATGACCAAATTGATATAATGTATAAGTATTGAAGACCAATTATGTAATTAAACCAATTTTATTAATAAGATGGTGATTAACCCCCACATCAGTATTTAACATAAATCTTAACAGCATGTGACTTGATTGACACACTTAAATAATTAAGTGGTTCGATTGACAATTTCAAAATTTGTGATCAAAATGAAAAATACAATAGTTAAGTGGCCATATGAATAGTTTACCACCTTTTTCGTCCAAGTTTTAACTTGAGGTAACCCTAATATCAGGTGGGGGTCTTTTGAAAACCCAGAATCTGGGATATACAAAGCAGTAAAGTTGCCAAGAGTATACGAGATGGCCTTACAGACTTGGGCACAATGGCTAGAGGTTCATGTCAATAGAAACAAGACCAAGTTATTCTTTATGAGCATGTCACCAACTCACCAAAAGTACACAATACGATCATCTAATCTCTAACCTTTTGATCATTACAGATCCTTATATGTGATGCAAAAACTTTGCAGGGCCGCGAAATGGGGCGGGATCGGAGGCAAAAATTGTTACAGTGAAACGGAACTCGTTACCGAAGAAGGATACGTAGGTGATGGAGCGAGTCCAAGGATGATGCGTGTGGTGGATAAGGTGCTTGATGAACTGAAAACAAGAGGCTTGAACGTGCAGATGATTAACATTACACAGTTATCAGATTATAGGAAAGAAGCCCATCCATCAATTTATAGGAAACATTGGGAAACAATAACAGAAGAACAATTAGCGAATCCCAAGAATTATTCGGATTGTATTCATTGGTGCCTCCCAGGAGTGCCTGATGTGTGGAATGAGCTGCTCTACGCTTACATTCTTCAACTTTGACAATTCCCCATTTCCAAATAAAATGTTTTTGAAAATCAGGGGTTGATTCTGAATGTTAACTGTTGATTCAATGAATTATAGCTGACAAAGGCTTACATGTATCTTTACTCTCTGTTTCTTGATGGGAAATGAAAGTGAATGTAGTTTTCTTTGTTTGATGAAGCATCATTAAATTCTTTCCCTCCTTACAATGTGTAAACGGTTGAACCATTTCACCAAATACAATTCCCAGGGGTGTAAATTATCTAAATTTTAACAAATAAAATTATATTCATATTCGTTTCTTTAATTTTGAAAGTTTTTATGTTTAATTTGTATTCGTTTAAATTTTTAATATCGTGTTTGTGTTTGTTTGTTTTGCATTCGCAAACTTATTCATTTCACTTTCAAGAATATATTTATTTAACGTTCGTTTAATGTTTATTTTATTTGTAAGCCAAAGAAAAATAGTGAAATGACTCTACTAATCCTTAATTTTCTTAAGCTTCACTGTTTGAAATTCAATGTTCACCTTGTATTCAATTCAGTATTTATCTTCACCAATATTTAAAATATAAAAAAAATAAAAGGAAATCGAGTAAATGAGCTTATAAACAAGTAGATAAACGAGTTTGTTTATAAATACAAACGAATCGAACACATCTCTATTTATTTTGTTTGTTTATTAAACGAACATAACAAAAATTTATTCGTACTCATTTATTGAACTTAATAAACGCAAATAAACAGAGTTTATACATCACGAATAGTTCATCTTACTTTGTTCATTTAAGCCATTAACCATTCCTAGCATGATATGCGCCACCAAGAAGTCTCTCCTTGTCCTTGCAGGTTTTATTTTAAACGCATCACTTGAAACTGAAAATGACCTTCCACCTGCAATATTAGCTTCATTGCTTAACACGACTTCCCTTTATCAACAAAAGAACGGCAATAATAACCGGCGTCAAAATCATGATCAAAGCCTGTATGATGTTTGGTCTTGTAAGCTCTGGAAAAAGTATGCTTCCATACTTGATAATGGCTGCACCCACCACTGAACCACCACCTAATTTCCACATGTAACTCACATCTTCCTGTTTTACATCCAGGATTTGCACAATCAGATTCTAAACTATAAATTCAATCAAACTTTTCTTATTCACGTGTCAACCGATATATGTCATGAAGGAAAATGATTCAATTCTGTAATAGAATTCAACTGAACGACATTGAAGTGCATTAAATTTAGGGGTTTTAAAGAATACCCATTTTTAATTCAACCACTACAAAACGAAACATTAGAGAGAAACTGACCTGAGTGATGAAAGCAGAATTGGGTTCATCGAAACTTGGATTTTCTTCATCGGTTTGGGAATCAACAGCGCGAATGGGAAATGAGCGTTGAAACGAGGTAGTAGAGGAGCGGTTGTTGGCGTCGATGAGAAACTTTACGTACCCATTCACCCGTGAAGCGGAATTCATACGACGGTGACTTACGGCGGAGCAGAGGAGCTTAAGTGTTCCGCTTGCCATGGCTGAAGCTGCCATTTCTCACCCCCTCCTTTTCCTTTCTTTCTAACAGCAGCGCTTGGATGCGGCGTAAAGCATTACAATTGGATTCCTATCCCTCTTGGTGTATATATATGGGTAAATTATAATGTTTTTCACTAAATTTTACGGTGAATGTTATTTTTCTCATTGAAGATTAAAACATTTCAATTTAATCTTTAAAGCCAATTTTGTGTTGTAGTTTTGATCACTAAACTTTTAATTTTTATCTCTAAAGTCACTTAGTTATATAATTGTAATTATAATTTTGTTTCAGATTTGTGTTTGGCAGTGGCAGATACATATATATTTGAGGGTAGGCACGTAACCAACCAGAAATCTAAATTTTTTCCGGTTAATAATTTATTTTAATGATAGTGCTCACCGTGAAATTTTATTTGTTCCCACCCTAATAAAAAATTGTGTTATTAACATATGGGTGTCCACCCTAAAAAATATTTCTAGATCAGCCATTAATGTGTGGCGTGATTCTAGGGTTTGAATTTCACTTGTGTGTGAGACAAAATGGGTGGGAAACAAAGGTAGTGATCGATAAACTGAATTTTCTTTAAGATTTGGATTTATGGGATTATTTGAAAATTCTGGGTATTGAAGGTGTTGGTTGACAAGATGGTTGATTTTCAAGTCAATTAAAATAATAATAAAAATATAAAATCAGAATAAAGTTAAAGAAATAATGGTTGAGTGATCAACAAAATCAATATCTAAAGTTTAATGATTAAAATAAAAAAAATTAAACTTCATTGAATAAAATATGAGTGAGAGTAAAATTTAATAAGGAAATTTGTAGTTTACCTTATATATGTGTGTGGAAGTATTCTTCTTGGTGTATATATCACACAACACAAAAATAAAGAGTTTTACATTAAACAAATGTTATTAAGTTCATTTGGTATAAATTTCTAAATGCACTTTTAAAAGACTGATTTGATAGTAAAATCAATGTCAAACATGTACAAGTTGAAAAAAATTGCGGTGAAAGCGATGATTTCAAATCAACCGTAGAAGTTAAAATTTTTAGCTTTTCATTTTTAACTTAGCGTTTGAAAGCAAATTATAATTTTAACCTTACTAATATATGGTATCCACTCAATTATATATACATTTTATTTTAATAATTTAATACTAATATTCTTAAAAAATAATTTATTACTTAATAATTTATTTTAATTACTTAAAAATGAATAAAATTCATGGTTTATATATTCAAATTTTAATAGTGAGTTATATTTTATATCTTTAATTTACAACATAATGATTATAATGAACAGAAACTCACTTTTTAACAGCAATCTCAAACAGTTAAATTTTAAACTATACTTTAGTACAACAATTTTAAACTCACTCTTAGTTGACACTTTTACTCTTAGATTATGGTTCAATTATCATTAGGAGTAAAAATTTTCCTTCTCCTCCTTAGAAATGGTTAAAAAATAGTTTCAATTATCAAACTATACTTATTAAATATATCTTTAATTTTTTAAAATTTTATTTTATTTGTTTATTTAGAAATCACGTAGAAGTACTAAAAGAGAAAATTATCATTGTAATAATATTAGTTATAGTTTAAAGTAGAAATAGTTTAATGATTTTCAATTGATTTGATGTTAGATTATCTTATGACACATCAAAAATAATCAGAATTTTAGTTATAATATATATTAAATTCATACTCATAATGTAACACACAAAATCGATCAAGGATATCTGAAGAGTCTGAGTGTGTTTGAATCGAATCATGAGAACAACTCATAATTTTTATTCAAAATCATTTCACAAAATCAAACAATTTATGATAATTGAAAGTTAATTTAGTAATATGACGTATGAATTAATTTAGTAATATACGTTATAAGATCACGTATAATTGTTTACATTACGAAATTATGACTTAATTGTGACACCCACTGATTAATTTTATGAACAATTGATATTTAAATCAAATATCTGTTATTCTAATTTCGAGAACAATTAATATTATGCTGGAAAACTCGAGTGTGTACAGACATGGACTCAAGAGATTTTATAGATACTACAGAGAAATTATGTACATCTTGACTGTTAACTATACATGCTTATTCGCAACAAGTCGAACTTTATTCAGAGATTCTTTAAATGCTTGACATGCAACCGTATAATGATCTTGGGACATCATCCCTTCTTCAACAACTTGCATCGACCGTCTATACAAATGATCAAACAACTGAATGGGGTTGCTGCTGTCGACGTTATTGGATCCGACGTTGGGATTGTATAGCCGCTTAAAATCTTTCCTCCATCGAGACAAGATATACTGAAAGGGGACATCCTCCACGCCGTTGTATTTGAGGACATACAAACCGTGCCGGCAAAGGTAGCCGTTGAAGTTAAAGCAGCTGCAAATGCAACGGATTTCCATTCCGGCTTTGTCGTACATAACTTCAAAGTTTCTGATATTGCTTCGATCTCCTTCCGCCTCATGTTCTTTAATCATGTAGGTTATGACATGTCCGTTGGCATGAGTTTGTGTTATGCTCAAACAAGGCATCAACACGACCTCATCTTGGAACCTCCTGAAAATTCCATTTGCATACAACTTGGAAAGCTGTAATTCGTAGAAGCATCTTGTTTTCAACATGGGACTCGAATCTCTCGATTCAATATCGCTAGCAGCTTCTCTTTTACGCGTCTTCTGCAAAACTAATTCATACATATCAAAGAACTCTTTCAAAGAAGTTTGCTTATGCACATAACCGTCAAAAAACGAGCTCGTAGATTCACCATTTTGAAAACTGCACATCCCAGCAAAAAATGTATCTTTTTGGTAAACTGGAGCCCATCGCTCTCTTTCCTCATATAGAGTACAAAGCAATGCATGATCTGTAATTCCAAAACGTCGAATCATATCATCCCAGCCCATTTCGAATTCGTCCACCTTTACAGTCTCATACACTGTCCTATTTAATATCATTTGAAAGACACCAGATTCCTGTAACTCTCCCAGATTCTCAAGAATGCTCTGCACGACATGTGACAAATGCAGCCGATGGTGAGCCCTGGGAAATACCTCGGATATAGCACTTTGCATGGCCCTGCAATGGTCTGTGATTATGGTTTGTGGAGGGTGACCAGACGTACAAGTAAGCCATGCCCGAAAAAGCCAAACATAAGTTTCAAATGTTTCATCAGCAACCAAACCACAGCCCAACAAGATAGACTGCCCATGATGGTTTACTCCAACAAATGCCACAAGAGGAATCTCATGTTTGTTTGACAAGCAAGTGGTATCAACGGCAACCACATCACCAAAGTAACCATATGCAGCTCTAGACCTAGAATCTATCCAGAAAACATTCCTTAAACACCCTTCATCATTGAGGTCTATAAGGTAAACAAAATTCGGATTAGTAAGCTGAATGCGGCTAAAAAAATTATATATAATCTGGGAATCTCCTTTTTTAAGCTTCAAACACCTAGAACGATCAACACACTCACTAATTTCTCCTTCAAGTGAATTTGAGCTTCCATAACCCACTGGATCGACCATAGATGTACGGTATAACTTGATTGTCCGTACTTCTACATCCACAGTTGGCTCCACCTTCCTTTTGGCCACAGCATCCAACTTCTTCCGTGACTTGCAATTCTGCGCTCTTTCATGGTCGAATAGGTGATTGTGTTCCAGTTTGACTTCATCGACCCTCCATCTATTAGACTCCACTAACCTCAACCTTATCATTGCGAGACAGCCAGTTCTTGTTTCCTTCCGGCGACTGTTTGCTTCTTTGATCGTTTTGAAACCCTCACAGTTACAACAGAGCACAGCTCCACGTTTCTCTTTGCTGTTACGCTTCGTCCACGAAGATTTCACCCTGATTGCAAATCCTAGCTCCTTGGCATAACAGTTATAATAATTATACGCATCATCATATGATTCAAACTCCATCCCCACAGCCGACGGTGGATAGTTTCTTCCTTGGGATATGCCATTTTCAACAGAAACTGCAGTTGCATCAGCCCCGTTGCTTTCATGATTGTCTTCAATCTCGAGCATTTGGTCACAATCATCCTGAAGGTCATTGCTTTCAATATCGAGGCCATTTTCTTCTATATCAAGTCCATTGCTCTCAAAATTAATGCCGTTCCCTTCCATTTCAAGCTCATTCTCATCATCCTCAAAGAGTTGCTCCCTGTTTTGAGAACCCTTTTCAATCTGAAATGGAAACCTCGTCAAATGGTCAACTGACACAGAACATACAAACGGGATACAGAAGTAACTCGTAAACTAAGGTAATACATGATCGCTGCAATTTCAATTCTTTCCGACTGAATTTCATTTTTAAGAAAGGTTACAATAAAAATATAAGGAAACAGGGAAAAGTTCATCAAATGTTTGAATTCCGGTGCTTCAAAAATAGAGAAGTAAAAAGCGGAACCATAATGGCACAGAAAAACTGCAACAAAATTCTCTACTCTTAAAACTAATGATAATTTTAACTTTTCCAGATAAAAATGAATAGCATAGTTTCTTCTAAATTAACTAATTGAAAGACTTGATTAAAAACAGTAAAAGAAATTCAATAACTAACACCCTAGAAACAGGGAAAATGGAAATTGGGAACGAATAAGGAGGAATTTGGGTGAAGGAAATGGGGGAACGTACCGTGACATGGAGGTCGGGAGGCGAAGGCGTAGGCGGAGGCAAAATGTGGTGGTCGCCGGTCATGGTTAGAGTGAGGGTGAGGGAGCCTTGCGTCAAAGTACGAGAGGTTAGTTTTACCCTAAGGCTCTCACTGTCTCTATTCTCACTTTGGTCCTTTATTTTTACTGTATTTGCTTGCTTAGATTATAACTTAGGGTAACGAAACACACGGGGTACTTTATTGTTTAGTCTATTATGTTTTGATCACTAGTTTTGAAAAGGTTTTGTTTTGGATCCGTCTTGCTCCGGTCAATTGCACATTATTAAACATGGTTAAATTTGAAATTGACCACTGAATTTTAGATAGAATACTAATTTAAAGTTAAATTTATATAAAATATTATTTTAATACCTAAACTTTAAATAAAATATCAATTTGACTCATGTTGAACCATGTTTTGTAATATTTTGATACAACAAATTAAGGGCAAAATGTTTTTGGACTTGATTGAATTTGTTCAAAGTTTTAAAAAATAATTCAAAGTCCATTAAACTAGAATTTAAACACAAAATAATTTTTTGAGTAAGTAGTATCGATATTGTTATTACATTGTAGATACTACATGAACAATATCGATACTATTCATGTAGTATCGATACAAAGGTAAGAGAAGTACCGATACTCTTTTGGTAGTATCGATATTAAATCGTGTTTTCCAAATATGCAAAAATTGGTACTGAAACTTTACACAATGATATCAATATTGTGAAACCCTAGTATCGATATTAGTCAAGCCCAACGGTAACTAACGACTAGTATATTTAAATATTATAAAGGAAGTATCGATACTCCCGTAGGTAGTACTGATACTCCCTGTTTTGGGCAGTTTTGTTTTGTAGAAAATTAAGTCTCTAACGGCTCCAAAACATCTCCAACGATTAGAAACGACCAAAAACATATTCCAATATATAAAAACAAGTCAAAGACACTTGAATAATGTAACATCCTCAATATCAGGTTAGTTACCAAATTATAATATTTCAGGATTTGGTGATTAAAATGGAATAGTTGAAAAGTTCAATTATTTATTTGGAAATATTACCTTAAAGATGCTAGTAATTATAAAAGGTATTAAAGGGCAAAAGGGTCATTTGGCTAAGAAATGAATTAAAAATGGGATATGGTAAGGATATATACACGTGGGAAATAAGAGATTTCTCCAGAGCTTTCTTCTTTCTTCTTCTTCATAAGTGAAAGAGAGCTAAGCAAAGGTAAACTTTTGATCTGTTGATTATTTGTTAAATTAAAGATTGGGTTTTGATCGTTAGATGATAACTAAGCTTAAGGAAAGCTTAAGTTATCTTAAAATCAAAAGATAAAAGAGTTAGGGAAGATTAAAGATTTTGAGTTCTTGAATGAAATTTTTATATAGAGTTGATAATTAGAATTGGAAATTGGATTTGATTTGATTTGATTTGTCATCAATCTAGTTAAGACATATGAAGTGTTAGAAGTGGAATTAAATCATGTTGCAAAGTTGGTATAATTCTTGAATCTCATAAGGAGGATAGGATTTTGGGGTTTAAGATGAAATAAATGAGTATAGATTAGTTTAAATAGGTGTATAAGAGTTAAGAATGGAAAAATGGATGAAATATGTAGAGTTGAGAGAATAAAGAAAGGATTTTCGTGCTCAAAGTATCATTTCTGGGTTGTGTGCATTGATGCATCTTCAATGTGCATCGATGCACTCTCAAATAAATGAACATCGAATGCAATTAGTGCATCGATGCATAAGGAGTGCATCGATGCACCTGCTTAAAATACAAACATCGAATAGGATTTATGCACCGATGCATGGATAGTGCATCGATGCACCTGTCAAGGGATGCATCGATACATGGTGTACTGCATCGATGCATGCCTTCATTAAAAGTTGAAAATAGCTTTCTTTTTAGCCTAAGAAGTTATGGTTTAGAATATATCAATTAGTATACTGATATGTATCAATGTATTACTATGTAGATTTAGAGCGTAATCTTGTTCCGGAACAATCGAAGAATTAGAATCAAATCAAAGCAAGCAAGGCTAAGATGAGTACAATTTCATTGTACTTATGTTATCGAATAAACATTGGCTTGCGATGAGCCAGTGACAGAGTTACTATGATAATAAGTAACTCGTAAAATGTTATTTGATTTGTGAATTCTATGTATGCATGAGTATAGGTGACATGATTTATAGGATTCATATGATATGTGATACTGAACTACATGAATATATGAAAATATTATATCAGTTGTGAAATATGTTTGACATGTTATTTTATGTGATACGTGTTTACATGATCACAAGTTCATGAGTTATATGAAAGAGAAAGTATATGTGATACGTGAAAGTGAATCATGTGTTTATATGAAAAGTGAAATGAATTACATGAAAGTAAACTATGTGACTAAATGCACATGTGATATGTGACAGAAGAAAAGTAATATGTGATTATAAGAGCAATGAAAATGTATAAGTGAAAATGCCCATGTTATGTGTATTGAGAGCTAGAGGTATAGTTGGCATGCCAAGAGTCGAGGGTTTACCTATGTTCTAAGGAACATATGGACAGTTTACCTAGGTTCTTCGGGACCTATGGACAGTTACCGAGGATCTTTATGACCTCTGGATAGTTATCGAGGATCTTTATGACCTCTGGATAGGTCCTTCGGGACATTTATACAAGCTGTGGTGAATGCATAGTGGTTCACAACCTCAATAGACTCACGTATCTACAGTTCTCACATGTGTATCATGGGCTAATAAAGAGATAATATTAATAAACTGGATATGATGATATGTTTGTTTCCTTGTGAAATGTTATGTGTGATATATAATGGTACAAATGGTAATTATAAGATTATATGATAAAAGGAATCAATGATAGTGATAAGAATGAAGATGATGATATAGTTGCTTGTGTGTATTTGATTTACGATAGGATATATGTTTTACATGACATGATATATATATGTTATATGGTATACGTGAGTACATGTTAAGGTATATGTGAATGAGCATAATTGATTGACATAATGATATAATAACAAATCTATAAGATATATGATATGGATATAAAAGATCATAGAAACAAGAGATAAGAGATATGAATGATAATGACATATATGTATGTATGTACTTGTTACATGTAAAAGTATATGAGTTGTGTGAAATGATAGTAGTAATTGTTTATGCATGATTACTAGTTAAAGTTACATTATATGTTTGTTGCCTCACTAAGTCATAGACTTAGCGTGTAAGTGATTTACACGTAGGTACCAAGAATCGGGAAGAACAGAAATAGGAGTGGCAAGAACAGCAGTACTGCTAAAAGATCATATCAAAAATAACTGTTAAAGTATGTATTTTGATGGTGTATAGTGTGTTGGCATGTAAGAAAAGTGTTAGTTACAAATGCTCTGATCAGTTTTGTCTTGTTTTGGTTAACTCGTGTACAGTAACAATGTTATTTTAATAAAAGTTTTAAATTTCCTTGGTTTTCGTCAAAAGTTAAAGTTTGGAAAGTCAATGTGACACCTCAGACTTGTATCCGGGTCAGATACGGGTTGAGGGTATTATATTTAATGGTATCAGAGCTACGGTTTAGTCGATTTTTGGCATAAACCGAAGTCTAGAGTGTCTTATAAAGTATACATGCCAACAAAATAGTGAAAACTTCTGATCTGATATAATAATAAGTGTGTTGTTTTGCTGATAGAATGATATGGGTATGTTTTTATAGATGTCTGGATATGATAGGTCTCGAAGTCAAGCGAGAGATGATCGGCCCGCTGAAAGTAGTAATTCACCTGCCCTGGCCTGGTAAGGTGAAGAACATGCACCTTCTGGAGTGCCTATAGCTGATCAAGATGTGTTCTTTAGAACATTAGATGTAGTATTGACGCGTTTCCAACCTCTTGCTACTTCAACTCCAAGAATGAATGTTGCAAAGGAGTTGAAGGGTTTAGGAGCTCCAGAGTTTAGGGGTGAAGTTGAAGAAGGTCATGTTACCGCAGACCTTTGGCTTAATGATGTAAAGGTTATGTTAGAAGGACTTCACTGTTCTAATATGGAGAAATTAGATGGGGTGGTCTCCTTGTTTCGTGGGCAAGCTAGAATTTGGTGGACGAATGTTACTCTGAGACTGACAAGTGATCAAGTGACCTGGTCTTTATTCTTAGAAGAATTTAAGCACAAGTATATAGGAGACCAGTTTATTCGGAAAATGAAGCAAGAATTCTTGAATCTGAAACAGATGAATCACACAGTGTATGAGTACGAGTGCGAGTTTAATAAGTTAAGTCGTTTTATGGCTGAGTTGGTCCCAACAGAGAAGGATGTGTGTGAGTGTTTTGTAGAGGGTTTGCACCCGAGGTTGAAAGAAATGTTAATAGTGTTAAACTTGTCTTCGTTTCAAGAAATAGTAAATCGTGCTAAAGCTCTAGAGAGATCTCAGAATGAAAGGTTTGGGGATTAAAAAATCTAACCCTTTAAAAGAACAGGGGCTTCATCGAGTTCTGCACCACCCAAGAGAGGTATAGATTCTGGTTTTCACTCTCAGGCAAAGACTGGATCGATGGTATACTCCGTTAGAGAATCAAATCAGATATAAATAGACAGACCCAATCAGTAGGGTCTGGTGATGGAAGAGCACAGTAGAGACATTGTCAGACTTGTGGAAGATATCACGGTGGGACGTGTAGAGTTAAATCTGGATCTTGTTTCCGATGTGGGGAAACAAGACATTTTATGAGAGATTGTCCATTGGGGACAGAAGAGCATGCACAGTTGGATCGATCTGCTTTTATGTCTCAAAGAGGAAGGGGTAGAGGAAGAGGCAGAAGTCAACCTAAATCCTCTACTCAACAGGAAATACGTTACACTGCTCGAATGTTTAATATTAATACTAATGAAGATTTTGATAATCCAGAGATAATAGCAGGTATTTTTTCTATTGTACAGTAAATGCGTTATGATATTGGTTTATCCGAGTTGTATATATACATGAGTAGTGAATGGGTGAGAGAATTGAGAAAGTAGATAAAAGTCATTTGTAGTAATATTAAAGTGACAAATTTAGTATGTCACAATGCTCAAGTA